CCATGGATTTAATTGTGTTTGAAAGTCGTTTCTTTATCAAAATCCTGGACATGGGCTTGTTGTATATTCATTTGGTTATGTTTTGAACATTGGATAACATAGTTGCTATGTTTATACTCATGAGAATATGTTTTCCTTATTGAATATATTGTTGCCTTGTGTAATGATTTACACATTTCGTATTTAACATCTTTCATGCATAGCGTGTAACGAATCGCACACTGAAGATTCGACATTCATCATATCATATTAGTTTTGGACTTAGAGCATGTATTGTATAGGTTTCCAAATTTGGTTGTACATGGTAGATAGTTGATTATCTTGTATATACATGCTGATATTTACATTGTTACACAACTTGTTAATTTTGGAAACTTGGGGATGTCGTTGTTTGGCTATGGCTAGGACGTGGTTCTAGTATGGGGGATAGTCCCTCTATATAGTCTAGTGCGCACATAGGGAGGTTACCCATGGGCTAGTAACCTTAAAGTAACCACATTATCGGTTTGATCCGGCGTGACGTCCAAGTATCCACTTTATTTGATTTCGCATTTCATTTCAAGTTGATAACTAGATGATGTTATGACTTGTTGTTTCTTACTTGTTTTCTCGTTTTAAGTTTCAGGATATTCACTTTGAGAAACCATGCTTTACGCATTGTATTAGAAGTTCTAATGTTGGTTAGATGGCATCGATATTGTGATTTATGTTTTGATATTCTAATGTAGTTTAGGAATGATCCTATAGATTCAATTGGAACATAGACGTTAGGTGGCATGACCCACTTCTGTTGTTTTCGTGCTTTAGATTTCAAGCTGATAGCTTTAAGAATTTGTATTTTGTTACCTTGTATAACATGTTTTTATGTGGCTAGGTTGCATTGAAATTGTAATTTGTGTTTTGATTGTTCAACATAGTCTAGGATGATTCCTTAGACTTATTTAGAACATAGACGTTAGGTGGCATGATCACTTTAGTTGTTTCTGTATTCTAGATTGCAAGTTGATACCTTTAAGAATCTTTATCTTGTTGCTTTGTATAACGTGCTTCCATATTGTTTGAATTGCATAGATGATGTGATTCATACTAGAAATGATCTAAGATAGCTTATGATGATCCCTGAGTCTAATCTTTGATATAGACGTTAGGTGACATGATCCCTTTCTGAAATGATTCATGTTGTCTAAAAATCTTAAAGAAATCGAGTCATGCATGCTCGTCCCCTACGAATAAACTTGTTAGACTTGTTTATTCACCTCGAAGTTACTGGGTGTTTTGCAGGTAAAGAAGCTTTGTTGTGGGATACACAACACTCTTAGACATGCTAGAAGTCTTGAAGTATTTTTGATGACATTAAATATGCACATGGTAGCATAGCATGTTTACTTTTGTTTATTTTGACAAAACTTGTACTTATTGTTTAAGCAATGTAATACGCACTTAAGTGCACCTTTTGACACTCTTTTGATGTGTATGTAATGAGGCCGGAGGCCAATATCATATATTATGTATGTTATGCACTTTTACTTACAAACTTCATTATGGAAATATTGAAAATTCATGAGATATTATGTCATAACTTTTGCATCGGGTGTGGGAATTCCATTTTTATTCTTTCATAGAGTCTCATAAATCATGTTTGAAGTGTGGCCAAGGGCCAAACGGTAATTTGAAATCATTTGTCAATTTTGGTTTTCATGTTTTCCATTTCAAGTCCATTTTTGCCTTTTCGGCCATTGGGGGGTCGGATTTTGCATCGGCGTCATTTTTAAGCCATGGACCATTGTAGCGCATCCAAATATGTAAGTTACGTTTGCGTGCATGATCGTTTTCAAGAAAAACCTCTTCCTTGGCAATTTGAGCCTCCTAGGAACTCATTTTGAGGTTTTGTTGCATAATCTAATCTAGGGATATTCTAGACCTTTCATATCAATTTTATTTTCCTCTTTCGATATGGTCAATTAGAAAACGTGATTTTAGGGAGGGTTTCTTCTTCGTGTTTTTCCAGAAAACATCGTCTTGGAACCGAAAATCCCTCGTGAAGTTTCAGCTTCCAGTTTTCATTTTAGCAGCTTTTTAGCTTTTTTGACCAGATTTCTTGGGAGGGCATTTTGGCCATTTTGCAATGAGTTTTTTTCTTAATTCTCTTACGAATCACGTAGAAAACTCAATTTTGAGGGAGGTTTCTTCTTTGTGTTTTTGCAAAAAAATTCATCTAGGCCTCCAAATTCAGCCTCTATTCTGGATTTTTCTGAAAAAAAAAGCCACACAGCAGCTTTATGGGCTGCTGCCAGCCATGGGTGCACCCAGCGCGCGCGCGGCGTGCATGGGCACCCGCGTGGGCGTGCGCATGGGGCTGTCATGGCCTCTCGTTGGGCCGCCGCGACGTCAATTCTTCTTTTGGGCTTTTCTCCTTCATCCGGACTCTGATTCAAGTGAATTTTTTTTTGAACTTGACTAATTTTTCGCTGTCTTTCTAACGGTGTGCTCTGTTGCACCCAGTTCTTCCTGGATAATTACCAATTTACCATTTTTCTCTTAAGTGCTCGTTTTTCTTCGTCATGCCGTTTCTCCTTCGTCCGGACTCCGAATCATGCGATTCTTGAGTCCATCTTGATTAGTTTTTCGTTGTCCTTCCAGCGGTGTGCTCGGTGGCACCCGAATCTATAGTTTTTAGAAATGACTATTTTGCCCCTGGGGCCTTATTTGTCATATTTTCGATCTTTTGCTTCCGCATTAGTTCTTGTTGAGTTCCACGACCTCATGAAAAGTCACTTTGACTTCCTAGAGTCTTGTTTTCTGTTTTCGCTTTCGCATTCAAATCCGTTATCGGATCATCATTTCGGTTCATCACTGACGCACTGGCCTAAAAACCAGGGCCGTCACATTAAAGATCATGTTATGTTTGGATGCCGGCATAATTTCGGTTGAAGATGACGATTGTGTGTAAATATATGTTATATGGATATAATATAGAGAGAGAAAGAACGAGATCCCTTTCTGCTCAATCTCGCTTCTACGTACGGGAGCCTATCCTTCGCTAAAGAATGTAGAAAGTCTCCGGCAAGCTCGCATTCACGAGCTAAGGCTTTTCTGTTTCTGACCATCCTTGTGTGTTACCTTAATTGAAGGGCACAGGTCATCTAGAATTGGAGAAGTGGAAAGCTAAGAATCGATGTGCTCCAAGTCAAGACTTCGTCTTCCCCCAAATTTATGATTTTGACCAAAAACTTTCCCCAAGTGTTCACGGTCACCGAAGTTGCTGGATGTTGGTTGTTGATGATGGGAGCAAGAAGCTTTCTCTCTAGTGTTTCAGATTGTTTGACGTCAAAGTGGCTTTCTTTGTGTGTTTGCCGTGAAAAAGGAAGGTGGGTTAGGGTTTGGTTGTTGTGTCGGTGGTGTAGATATAAAATATAAGAGACGTGTCACAATCTTATTGGTTGGTTAGATTTTGTTTGCCACGTCAATAAGTGAAATTCATATTATCAGCAAACAGCGTCGTTTAATAAGAAGGGCAGCTTCGTCATTTTTCTTTTCCGGTGACCTGAGTGGTCAAATTGCAACAAATTGAAAGTTCAGGGGGTTTTTTTGTAGTTCAAGGGGGTTAGTTGCAAAACCCCCATAGTTCCGGCCGCCGGGGGGGGGGGGGGGTTTGCACTTAACCCTATTTATATTTATATTTTTTATTTTATTTATTTTATTTGAATGTAAGGGTACATTAGTCCATTAATGGTTCAATTTCCTCAAAAGCCCTTATTTGCACAAATTGAAAATGTAAGAAAGTAACTTAGGGGTGCACAAAAATTTAGTCAAACCGAAAATCCAAACTAGACCGGACAGTTTGGTTCGGTTTGCAAACAGTTTGTTTCGCTCACGTTCCAAATTTGTAAAACCATAAAGATACGGTTTGGTCATGACTTAAGGTCCTTTAGGACCAAACTGGATCGAACCGAACCATTTAGTTATATATATATAATATAATATAATATAATATAATATAATCCAAAAATCTACATCACTTAGAAGTTTGTAGCAACTATCAATCTTACGATTCACTCTTAATTCTCTTACGTCTTATCAATTTATTAGATGATTCTTATTTTTTAGTGATTTACAATGGCTGAATTTTGTTGTTTTTCTAAATTGTGGCTAAATGTTTATCGTTGAATTAGTAATTATAACTATATTAGGTTATTAACAATTCTAAATTGATATATTCACTTCAGTTCCAGAAGTTACATGGAAGAATGAATTAAAAGTTCTAATATATTAACTTGGTTTATTGTTATGCATTTGCAATTTTGAAATATTAATAATTCTGTAGCAGGAGAAAAAAAAAAAAAAAGAAAAAAAAGAAAAAAAGAAAAGAAAAGAAAAGAAAAGAAAAGAAGAAAAAAGAAAAAAGAGAACCGTAGAACCGAAGCGAACCAACCGGTTTCTCACGATTTGGTTTGATTTGATTCTTTGGTCAAATAGTTCGGTTTGGTTTTAAATTTTCTAGAACCGTTAGGATTGATTTGATTTCAAAAAAACTCTCAAATCAGTTCAAATCGAACCGTGTGCACTCCTAAGAGAGTTTATTAAACAATAAAGGTTAATCGTACATTTTGTATATAATGAAATAATTTTTTTGCACTTAACCCTAAATACAAAAGCAAAAAAATTTTAGAATTGCCAAAAAGGCCTAGTAAATTTCTCCTTTTTCCTTGGATTATTTTTTATTTTTTATTTTTTATTTTTCACTCTCCACTTCTGTAAAACAAACACAAATCGTTCTATTACTTTCCTCTGAAACTTCCCAAGGAAGATTTGGTACTAGTCGTGCACAGCTGTGCACTGTGGGGTTGTGTTGTCCAATCCTCTTGCACCACGTCTAGACTCGTACTACTATTAGTAGTAGTATATATAAGCTAGGACGAGCTATATATGTCATCCAAAAAAAAAAAAAAAAAAAAAAAAACAGAGGACGAATTCAGATTAATTTTGTTGCTTCAGTTAGTATCTGGAGTATATAATTCATATACAGTTAGTATATGGAGTATATATTTTCAGATTAACTTTGTTGCTTCTAAATTATGCACTGTTAATTAACAAATAAAAGTCTTGGCCTTCTGTGAATGGCACACAAAACAACACAAAATCACCAAATTTTTTTTTTTTTTTTTTAGAAATTAAAATCACCATCTTCCAAACAACTGATTCATTAGCAAAAACATTTGAGAAAAAGAAAAAGAATAAAAGAAAGAGAAAGAGAAAGAGAAAGAGAAAGAGAAAGTGAAAGGGAAAGAAATAAAGAAGGAAGACCTTGAGTCAACTAAAGTTGTTGTAGTTGTACGGAAGATAAAGAGACGATCGATCATCGTTATCTTTGGGTCTAAAAAAAAAGAATTTATTAATTTTCTTCTGTCACCTTTTCCCAAGCTTTCTGATTCCTCGTTTGATTTTGGGTTTGCTTTCTCCATGGGTAAAAGAGCATTGGATTGGAGAATATATAAATATATATATATATGTGTGATATATACACACATATATACGGAAAGTGGTGGTACTGGAGATTCCTATATACATTATTTACTCTTTCCTTTCACTTCCTTCCTTCATAACTAAGAAACCCATTTCTCTCTCTTACAATCTGTAGCTGCACTCTCTCTCTAGACATCTGTTTGACGGAATTGAAGGTTTAAAGGGTGGAAAGTAAAATGGGGTTTTGTTATTGTGATCATTTCAGATAAGCATATATATCAAGTTTGAGAAAAGGGAACAGAGAGAGTAAGAAAAATAGCGATGGAGAGGGTTTCTTTGTCTAATAAGAGAAAAGGGCCCAAAGAAGAGTTAACCGATTTGGTGTTTTCATGGTCTCTTGAAGATATTAACAATGAGGATCTGTACAAAAACCAGGTCTACTTTCTCTTTCATGCTTCATCACTCTTAATTTTTTCTGAATCCTTAGAATTTTTGTGACAAATTTTTTTTTTTTGTAGCTTTTAGATTAAATTTTGATATCTTTGGAATATAATATATAGTTGATTGATGCTTACCGATGGCATTAAAGGACTTTAATCGTGATTTTATACGTAACACAACATTGGCATAAATGGGCTGGGCTTTGTTCAGGCCCAATCCTATCAAAAATCTCATGTCCCAACATCAGAATACACGTGCAGAGGTTACTGGTTAGCAATATGCTTTTCATTATTCATGTTCTGTGCTATTGCTCTGTTGGTGTATCCAAATTTATGATGCTCACTTGTTGCTCATGAATTGCTGTTATATACTTTAATTTATGCTGTTTAAGCTGTTGCTTAAGTTAATTTTTTTTTTTTTTTTTTTTTTTTTCCTGGAAGTTAATTTTTGTTGTGATTTCAAATTTCAGAGTATGTTCATTTGTTAGTATGGGAAATGTTTTGCTAGTTCTTCTGGCTAATGTCTGGATTTCTATTGAAGATAGTAAAGAAGCATGTGACATCATTTGATTAGTGATTTTCATGAAACCTTTTCCTATTAACATTTCATATTTTAATGCTCATTTAGACTTAGCATGCTAAATTCCCATGATTTGTTTCCTGAAAGAGAACTACTTAATTTGAGTTTTCAATCTACGAGAGAGATGGAAATCGTTTTCCTTAGCCACATCCCATTTAATTTGAGTAATAATTGAGTATATTCTTGTAATAAAAACAGCATTAAACTTTACTATAATGACACATATAATATAATTATAAATGTTGAAAATGATTTTCTTCACTAATATTTTTATCTTTAATTTTTATCACAATGTTATTATTTTCCATATCATTCATAATTTTATATTCCATATATTCTGATTAGTTCCACTAATTTTTAAAACCTTCGACTCTAATGCATTTATCCAAGCTTGTAACTTCATTGCTAAGTATTCTTGTGAATTATCAATAGCATTATGTGTTGGCACATAAAAGTGGCAGTCCAATGGGCAGCCACTTCAATGATGACACGGTGCAATAAAAAGAGGACAAGTGGACTAAATCATGGTCCAATGCTGAATTAACACATGTCAACATTGGAAGGAAAAGGAATTCCACCACGCTTGAAACATTTGGCAAACGAGAAAGACGAATATGGCAGGATAATGATAGCTGGCAATGAAATTGTGGGCTGAGTGGTTTCCTATAATCAAGGAGAAGATTGGCCAAATGAGTTAGACATGTATGGAAACTGCTATAAATTACCTAACTCAGTATAGAAGTTCCTATCTTCAAGGAGTTTAAAAGTGGCTAAGGAAGGTGGTTCTTAAAAACTAGGGATGAGGAGATCGTGGTTTGTTGTATATACAGAATCTATTTCAAGAAAGAATGAAACTGGAGCAGTTGAAATACGTGGTGTGTATATATATATATATATATATATATATATATATATATATATATATAAATTAGATGAGCAGTTTAAAGAACGTGGGACACATGGCAGCAGTGGAAGAAATTCATAGATCGTGGGTATGGAAGTTGGAACTTAGCAGCTGAGCATGAGACAAGTGTCTTGTAAGAAGAAGTGGACAGTTGCTTAAAAGGACATGGGTCCTTTTTGTAAGGCTTGAAAAGCCTATAAATAGTTTACTTAGGGCTATATTGCGAACTCTCTCAACGACATCAATCAACATTCAATACTTTGTATTTCAATTCATGCAATTTCAATACAAGTCAATTTTAATTCCTTTACATTAATGCACTTACTTTCAGTATTGCATTTCAATTCATTAGATAGCATTGTAGTCTTAACTAAAAGTCCTTTCATCGAAGGCAAATCCGAAACTTCACAATCGCTTGATCGTTCCAAAAGGATCTTCCTTTTCGTTCGACCTCTCTGAATCTTCCGAGATTCTGGCACGCCTGCACATTCCAAGTGTCCCAATTTTATGGAAACATTAATTGGCATGCCCGGCCGAACACCCGGTAAAGATTGCAATGCTGCCAAAATCAAAGTCGACCCGTCTACCTACGACTGGTGATGAAGAGCCAGAAGAAGAAGTTCAGCCGAATCAGGCTGGAAGTTCTAATCCTGGTCCTGAAGAATCGGGAGTACGTGCTGAGGTGCAATCACTGGTTGCACCATTGGCTGAGGCATTGGGTAGGATATCTGCCCGCATTGATGACATGTCTCAGAATGTCTCTTAGCTATTAGCCGTTGTTTACAATTGGCCTGCCCAAGCTGGAAGTTCGAGTGTTCAAGAATCGGTATCTTAGCCGATTCCCCACCTTCAGCCAGCTCTTGTAGCAAGTCTTCTACAAAACCCTCCAGTGACTTGATCGGAATTTCCACAACCACCGGTACAATAGCCACCGGTACAGAAGCCGTTTCCACAGCCGTAGTACCAGCCACCTCCAAGACCACAAGTATTTCCTCTAAATTTCACTTGAAGAGATTATTTCGACCTGGGGGGCAATTATTGAAGATGGAGGAATAACCCACCATTCCCACCAGTGCCACCACTTATGGTACCCGGGGGCCAACCAATAGCCGATCTACCGGTTTGGCCAGACAATAATCTACCACTAGCGGCTAATCAGCCGTCAGGAGTTAATTAACCGGCCCAACCAGTTCTTCTGGATAGAGGCCAGTTAACGGAATTGATAGATCGGGAATTTGGTTTAGCTGCCAAATGAGTAAGCCGACCGGCTATAGAAAGCCATACCCGGAAATAGTTGATGAATTTGAATTCCCTAGAGGGTACAAAGTTCCAGATTTTTTAACTTTCAATGGGGAAGGTAACTAATCTACCGTAGAACATATCGGCAGGTTCACTGTTCAATGCGGGGAAGTAGGAGCCAGTTCGTGGTTGAAATTGAGGCTTTTCCTAAACTCCCTCACGGGATCAACCTTCTTTTGGTATATTCACTTGCCACCAGATTCTGTTCATTCTTGGCAGCAGATGGAGGAGCTCTTCCATACGTAGTTCTACCAGACAGAATCCGAGGCAACTCTAGCCGATATATCTCGGCTGTGCCAGATGGCCAATGAGTCTATTGAAACATTTATTGCTAGATTCAGAAGGGCCAAACTTAAGTGTCACGTTTCTCTTCCAGAAAGGGAGTGTGTTAGGCTAGCCCTTAATGGCCTTGACTTTGAGCTCCGGAAGAGGTTTGAAGGAATGGAGTTCAGAGACTTATTTAAGTTGGCTGATAGGCCAGTAGATTTGAGTCCATACTCAAAGAAGAAAAGGACAGAAAGAATTCTTCCAAAGGAACTTACTACAGAGATCCTAACTATGAAGTCTTATCAGCAGAGTTGGAAGATGATATGGAAACTAATGTGGCAGATGTTCATATCAAGAAGCCATATGTTTGTGACGCGCTGGTCAAATCAAAATCTTCCACAAGTGGCGAACAAGCATCTACCTCTTTGGCCAAGAAGGGAATGGCTGATTCTGGAAAAGTTTATACTTTCGACTTGTCCAAAACGGAGCAGATATTTTATCACCTTATGGCCGATAAACAAATCTCGTTGCCCAAGGGACATATTATTCCTACGGCTAATGAGCTGAAAGGAAAAGAATTATGCAAATACCACAATTCCTGGAATCATGGTACTAATAATTGCTTTGTATTCCGAAATGTTTTGCAAAAAGCTATTAATGAAGGAACACTAAAATTTCTAGAAAAGAAACCAGAAGTAATGGGAGTGCTCAGTGACCCATTTCCAACTATTGTTACCAGTAGCATGATCAGCCTTACTTCAAAGTTTCCAAGGAAGAAGATTGTTATTGGGGACGAGAAGCAAATGCAGGAAGTTACACTTTAGCCAGAATCAGATTCTTCTAGCAGTGAGGTAATAGCAGACTTGGAAAAGAAGTTGAGAGAAGCTCAGATTGCTTTTATTAATCACAGTCGATGCCCAGACTGCCAGGGCTGTGATAACAGAAGACACCACCATAATCATAGAAGGGATTCTCATTCTTCCAGAAGAAGTATTTATGACCGGCTGATGGATGTACGGCCGATTCATGACCGGCAAAAGGGAATTATAGTGGTACGTTCAAACAAACATTCTCCTAATTTCAAAAGGAGACCCCAGATTCAATCTGAGGTTTGGGTACAAAAAGGTGATGTTTCACACAAATTCCGAATGGTGAGACCACCTGTTACTTTGCCGGAGAGATGGAAGAGATTGGAACATCCTAAGTTCTCGAAAGAAAGGCCTTCGGCCAAGTATGGCCTCACTTGGACCCAGAAGAGGAGGCTACAGCACAGAAGGGCTGAGGGACGGAAGAAGGAAGAATCTCATAATGGCTGTTCTAAAACGGCCGAGAACAGAGATAGGTAATCGGAACATCAACCGGAAGATATGGACATAGCCATTGCCTTTGATGATGAAGCTGCACCCTGGGGCAGATACAGATGTGGATCCTAAGCATGCTCCTAAGTACAGAATTCGTTTTGGAAGTTTTTCGGAAGAAGTGGCTTGCATTATGGCTTTTGTTTTGCCAGCAGTCTTTGAGGCTACTCCATGTCAGTCAATGACAGTGGAAGAAGGCTTTAAGACGGAAGAGCCACTCAGAGCTGTTGATAAAGAAGTGATAGCTGTTGAGTCAACAACGAAGAGCACTTATTCGGCCAAGAAGGGACGAGTTACTACGGAAGTAACAGATGCTGCTGACAAGGTGGTATTTAGCCATAACCCAGTAGTTAAGGCCGCTTTATGTGAAGGTTTGGATAGAAGGACAACCGGTCAATAGAGTTCTGGTTAACAATGGATCGGTTTTAAATGTTATTCCAGTAACTACATTGAAGTTGCTTAGGAAAAGCATTGAAGATATTATCCCTAGTGATGTGGCCATTAATGGGTTTAACGGAGGAGCTACTAATACCAAAGGGATTCTGCCTTTGAGGATTACTATAGGCGGAAGAACTTCATTTGCCACA